TCCCCCCCTCCCCGGCTTGGCTGCCTGGTCCCTGACCCCTTCCTGGCAAAGGAACCGGGTTGGCAGGATCCAGCCCCACTGGGAAGGGGCAGCCGCCTCGCCGGCTGGGGACAGCAGGGCGCGAAGCATCCTGCCTGGGGCTGGCGTGCGTTGTGGGGGGGTTAAAATCCACACAATCATTGATTGGAAGCCAGGAGTGTATTAAAAACCTCTCCCACGCGACTTTCTGGCGGGAGGCGCACGTGGGGTTTCATTGTGCAGGAGGTGTTTCTGTTTGCTGCCTTCTCCCGAAATCTTTTGAACTTGGAGAGCAGCAGCAAAGCACCCACGGAGCTGCTTTTCCCTCCCCGTGTTTACAGTTTGCTGGGGGTGTTTTTGAGCCCCTCGAAGGCATCGGGGCTCGGCTTTACCCACCTTTGCAAAACAAAAGGAAAATGAGCGCATTGTCACCCCCTTCAAAGGGGCTGCACCAGGTTTGAAGCAGAGAGGGCAGAGCACGAGGAAAAAAGAGGGAAGATGCTCCCGGCCTGCAGCAGAAATGGGTATTAAATGTTAATTTAATACCATTAAATTAATCCAATTGAATTGGTTAATTTAATACCAATTAAATACTATGGGTGTCCTGTTGCTGGCATCCCCAGCATCAGCCTCACGCAGCCTGGGCTTTCCTCATGTGTGACACGTTAGATTTAAAGTCGATTTAATTCCTTTGGCAGAGGCGTGTGGCTGAGCTCTTCCCCGGCTGATGCCACCTGAGCTCGCCCCTTCACAGGCTCTGCTCTGTCTTGAGCAGGTGGGTCCTCTCAGTCCTTTCCAAGTATGTCCGGAAGGGCTGGGAGAGCCAAGGGATTTGGGTGTTGGAAATTTTAAGCCCTTCCTGGAAAAGCAAGGATTAGTAGTTAAAGCTGAACATGCCTCAGGCATGAAGTGACTCGCGTTGATGGGGAATTGAAAGAAAAACAGTGCTGGAAAGAAGCAGGAGTGTGTTCTGGACCCCCTCCCCAAAGTGGAATGGGTCGGGGAGGACCCCGGCACGTGACAGAAATAATTACGGAGCTTCTAAAGTTACTGGTTCTCTCCGTACGTCGGGTGTGAAGGGTATGGTGATGCTGCAGTTCGTCAGATGAGTTGTAGCATAAAAAATCCCTTGTAAACGCCTCAAACGGCTGAGTTCACATAGGCTGGGAGCTCAGGGGCTCGTGAACGTTTCTGGGTGTTCATTGTTTGCTTCCACTTTGCCGTGCAAGTGGTGAAGCCCCGATGGTCCAGTCCATCCTCCTCCTCTTCCCCCAAAGCCAGGGCTGTGCTGAGGTTCCCCAGGGAGGAGCAGGATGGGGAGCGGGATGGGTGACATTGTGGCCACCCCACAGGGAAGCTGAAGGAGTGGAGCCTCCTCTTCTACGGGACAGCTGAGCATCCCTACACCACGCTGGGCAGCCCCCCGTCCCGCGGGAGGGCGCTGGAGGTGCTGGCATCGGAGACGGAGCCCTCGAGAGCTGCCTTCCTGCAGAGCCAGGTTGAGGTGGTGGAGGAGGAGGAGGAGTATGCGGGTAAGCACTGGGTGAGCCGCCACACCGTCTTCCCCAAAGTACCCCGGAGGATGCCAACGGGGGGAGCCAGGAGGCCTGATCCTGCCCAGAGCCAAGGCGGGCTGGGAGGAGCGGTGCCTGCGGCCAGCGCGGGGCAGCAGGATGGCAAAATTAGAAGGTAGCAAAACGCCCCGTCCCTGAGCTCCCACCACAAATTGGTGGTGCAGCCATCTGGGGAGTAAAAAAAGCTCCTCTGCCCACCTTCCCCACGGCGTGGGCATGGGCAGGCGTCCTGCTTGTCCTCGAGGAGTGGGTCCGGCCCCTCTTCCAAAGCTGCTCCTGTGCCAGGGTGTTCAGCCGGAGGGTGGCTGGGTGGGATTCATGCCGGGGAGGATGAGCTGGAGGAAAGGTGAGCCATGCAGCTCCGTACAATAGATAAGATACACAAGATCTGTAAGATAATAGATGGAGGATAAGACAGGCACTGGGTCCCCAGCCCCTTCCCTGTGTCTGTTAGTCCAGGGAGGGTGTGCTCGGAGCATCTTGGCAGCGAGGACTGGGGCATGCTCAGCCTCTCCTCTCCCTGAGCTGAGCCGGTCTCTCCCATCTCAGGTCCGTGCCACCCCGAGTGTGGAGACCAGGGCTGCGACGGCCCCAATGCCGACCAGTGCTTGAACTGCATCCACTACAGCCTGGGCAGCATGAAAGCGGGCAGGTGAGGGGGGATGGGGGGTCCCTGCGTGGTGGCAGCACCTTTCCCAGGGCTTGCACTGTGGTGTGGGTGATAGAAGTTGGTTTGCACAGGGAAAGAAGCTTTTGAGAGTGAAAATGGAGGGAGGAGGAATGTGGGGATCCCTGCCCCGGGCTAGGGTACGATGGTGTGTGGGACACAGAGCTGGGGAGCCCTGGAAGAGCTTGGCCATGCAAGTCCTGGTGGGGAACAGGCGTTGGCTTCACCAGCCGGGGTCGTCCATGCCTGAGGGACAGGTAGCTGAAGTGCCAAATCACTTCTGGAATTGGTGTTTCCACTCCTCAATCTCTTGTGCTGGCACAGGGAAAATTAACCCATAGTCGGGGTCGCTGGCCAAGAGAGTCCCTGGCTTTTTGCTGCAGAGCCACAACATTCAAGATGCCCCAAACCTTAGAAATAAGTAGTAAATGAGCCAAATCACCATCAAGGCTGGGGGATGCCCCGAACGCTGCGGGTGAGGGGACAGAGGCAGGTGCCAGGCTGCCAGGAGGAGGCCGGGTGTTGGCACCAAAGCCCAGGTGCTGTCGGTTCCTTCTCCAGGGTGTGCGTAAGCTCATGTCCCGCGGGGTTTTTCGGCGACAAAGGTGGCCGGAGGTGCCGCCGGTGCCACAAGGGCTGCGAGCGCTGCATCGGGAGGGGACCGACCCAGTGCACAGCGTGCAAGAGGAGCCTCTACCATCACCAAGAGATGGGCACCTGCATGGTGCTGTGTCCGCCTGGGTTTTACGCCGAGGAACGTAAGGATGCTTATCACTTGCAAGCTGTGGCATGATGATATGCATGTTTGCTTCTATTTTGAGTGCTACGGGTGGAGAAAACACCTTGTTTTTTGAGTGTTGGCTTTGAATTTCCCCCCCTCCACCCGCTTTGCGCAGTGAAGGGAGAAGGAAAACGTCTGGATGTTCAGAGGGTGGTGCAAAGCAGAGGCGCTCAACTCAGCAATTAATTAGAAGACTGTAATTAATACTCCTAGCTGCATGCAAAGCATATTTCTTCTTAGCAAGCAATGACGGATAAGGTCATCTGCAATAGCAGCGACCTGCCAGCGTGGGGGACGTGCCTCTCCTCCCCAGGGAGCTGGCGCTGGGGTGCACTGGGGTTGTGCAGCTCTGACTGCCGCTTACAAATCACCATCTGGATTTTATTCTCCCTGCCTCGCTTTGTTTTTTGAAAGGTCAGAAACGCTGTCTGAAATGTCATCAAAGCTGTAAAAAATGTGTCGGTGAAGCAGACAAATGTACTGCATGCAAAGATGGATTCAGGTAAGACAGCAGCACGGGAGGAGTTTATACCTGCAGCGTTGGTACCTGTGGTTTACATTTAGGAAAACTGATGGGAAATTAGGGGGTGAATTAGTTAAAGACCCAAGATGCTGCTTCCGTGGTACTACAGCTGTGGTGTGGAGCTGGGAATTGAAAGGTGTTGCTTCATGTCCCTTTCGTAGCTGAAAAGCATGATTTAAATTAAACTTCCTTTTCTCCAGTGCTTGCCAGGGTGGTGGGTCAGTGCTGTGGGCTCAGAAGCGCTCATCTAAATTTGGTGACCTGCAACCAGAGCAGCTCCTGCTGTCACAGCATCTCAAATGGGGGGAAAAAAGCAATTTCCTCCACACGTTGCAAAGCGCTTGTTTCCTCACGAGTCTCAGGCGGCTCCATCAGAGCCATCCCAGCCAAATGGGGCACTGGCTTTTCCTCACCCAGCAGAGCCGGTACCAGGCTGAGCTGCTCCAGGCAGGCTGAAAATGCTTCCTGCTCCTTGCAAGTGCAGAAACCCTTCCCTCTGCGTCATCCCTGCAGGAACATTTTATCCGATGTACCTGTTGAGTGGGGCTAGTATAGGATCGCAGTTCCCGACTCTGTGAGGAGCGCCGGGTGCCCTTGCAGCTGGCCCCATGGCCTCTGTGGGATGCAGAGCCCAGCCATGCTGGCGAGCATCACCGGCACAGGGGAGAAGCTGTTTTCAATCCCCAGACTCACATGGAAGTATGAACCCATAGCATTTTGCTTTGCTCAGAGGCTGTAAACGGGCCAGAGCTACGGTGTAGCAGCAGGGCTTTCTCAGACAAGGAAATTGCTGCTGCCAAAAGATTATCTACTCCCCCAGAAAAGGAAAAGTGGAAGCACTTGTCAGACATAATCCGCACGGCGCTTGCTTTTTATTGTCCAATATCCTTTTAAGCCAGGGCTTCAAATCATCCCTGCTGTGGTGAAGCAGCACCGGCCCAGACAGGGCACTGAACCAATTTCCTTTCATTCTGGGGAACCTCATGGTGCAAAAGGTCTTTGGGAGAGCCTGGCTGGCTGCCTGCAGGGAAAAAATGATTTTATTTCCTCCTGGATACTTGATTAAGGAACCTGCAGCCTTCCCTTTGGTCCAGGCAGGACTTTAATTTCTCCTGAAGTGTTGGCTGGCTTTCCAACGCCTCCTGCGCTGTGGGTTGAGGCGGCTGTAGGGCACTGGGGGATGCGGGGATGGGGATGTGTCCAGTCCCCAGAGCCTGGAGCTCCGGGTGCAAATGTCCTCACTGCTTTCCCGGCAGCCTGGCAGGAGAGAGCTGCGTGCCGGAGTGCCAGCCTGCCATGTACCTCAGCCGAGAGCCCCGGCGGTGTGAGACCTGCTCCGCCAGCACAGGTACGTCCTTCGTCCCGAAGCGTCCCCATGCAAAACCCCAAAACCCTTGTGAATCAAGGGCTGATGCCCACAGCGCCCATCCCGAGCCAAGGCAGAGTGTGCCGGAGGAGAAGGAATCACAGCTCTCCAGCACATCCCACGAAGTGCTGGGAATATTTTCATATTTGAAAGGTTTTTAGGGAGTTTTTACATTTTTATTAGAGCCATTCTTTATTTCCCAATCCCTCTGAAACCAGGTGCTTCAGTTTAATAAGGTTGCGGGGGAGGCCATAAAACCCTCTCGGAGTGATGGAAGATGGCTTTGCAGAGTATAAAAATGTCAGGTAGCCGAGGCGTGTTATCCCAGCCGCCCCACGGGGCCGGGCTGGCCGCTGCCGGCTTCCCTCTGCTGCCCAAAGTCGCGCAGCGTTCCCTTTAAATCCTGCCTTTTTCGCTTTTTGAAAGTCCAATTATTTTCCATTGTTAATGTTTGCGTCTGCCCTCGAAATCATCATAGATCTGATGATAATATGATCTCCAGACAATTCATGTTCAGTGGTGTGAATCTCATCTATCATACATGGGCAATTTCCTAAGACTAAATCCAAAATATTTATTGATCTTGTTGGCAAGCGTGGAAGGGAACAGGCTCTTAATCCCTTAAGAAAATTACTTCCCTTCTAATTCTTATTCCAGTCAGTGTAAATGTACTTCACCACAATTATTTTTCAAGCTTTTCCTCGTCTCCTTTTCCTGCATAACCATTTCTCAAGCCCGACACGTGGAAGGCCTCTAATAATACCACCTCCATCACCACGGTTTGCCGTCCGGCCGCAACACACCAGCATCGGAGTGGGGCCCTCTGCTCTCCCAGCTCCTCTCCCGAGTCCTTCCCTCCTCCAGCTCCTCCACAGCCCAATTTAGCATCTCTTCTTTTCCACATTTTACTCTGTGTAGAGCGGGAAAGCTAAACCAGTGCACGCTTGGGAGGGGTGGCTGATGCACCGGAGGGGATTTTGGTGCGCTCTTCCACAGTGAGACCTTGTGGGGCAGGAGACCAGGTCTTGGCTGGGTTTTTGGGATGGAAGCTGTTTTTTTGGGGGGATGGAAGCTGAGTTTTTTGGAGTGGGAGCCAAGCAGCAGGACCATGGTGGCTGTTCAATCCTGGGCAGAGCCGAGCTGGGGCCTCCGTCTCCTATGGGGCTGTGGCCGTGCTGGTGCAATGTGGCTCCCGTCTCTGAAACCGCCCACGTCACCTACCCTTTTCCCTCTCCCTACAGGGCCGGGTGAGGAGGACTGTGCCCCTTGCACCCCTGGGGCCTCCGCACCCCACTGGCGCTGCGTCCCCGCCTGCCGTGAGGGTTTCTACCCTGCCAACAGCCACGGGCTGCCCAACAAAGTCTGCAAGAGGTATGGAACCACCCCGATCATGACTGGAGCAACGGCGGGACTGATGGGGAGTGCTGGCAGCAATGATAAAAAACCCCATAAATAACTCTGAAAACAGCTTGCAGCTGGAGCTGTTTACTCGGGAAATTAAAATAGGGATGAGGGAGCCAGGGAAGCTGTGGGGCTGGACCCCACACACCCCTGCCCTATAGATTTAAGAGCAGCAAAGCTGCATGCTCCCCCGCCGCAGCCAGCCAGCCAAGGTGTCTTAGGGCTACGGTGGAAGCGTCTCAGCCCCGGCCCCAGGCTCTTTGGAGGAGGTGTGGGAGGAAGGAGGAATGGTGATGTTTAGGCAAATATTCCAGCTTTCCATCAAAACCTGCTCCATTCGCCCCACGGCTGTGTTGGAGGAGCGTTCGCCCGCTCTCTGGCCCAGCACGGGGGCTGCGTGCAGGAGACGGGGAGATGCCGGGAGGCAGCAATTTGCTCCCACTCGCTGGCACTCTGTGCTTTAAGTGGGGAGTGGGTGTGGATTCAGCCTCATTAAAACGAACATGAAAGGATTAAAGGTGACTTGGGAACATGCAGCACAGTGCCTGCCCGCCCAGGGTTTTGCTCACCCACACTGGCTATCCGGCAGGGAGAGCAGGGATCCAGCATCCCTTCCCAGGGATTTTGGGTATGGGCTTTGCAAGCCGCCATTCCCAGACGGGAGGCACAGCTGATGGACTCTTATTCCCTGAGCAAATGGTTGGAGCAGCACAGATTCTCCTCATAGCCCTTTTTCTAACTGGGATTGCTGGGAAGAGGTGCATGTCCCACTGAGCCTTCCCAACAGGCAAGCACCTTTGGGACATCACTAGCTGTCCCTGGGCATTGAGCTGGCACCACCAAGCTCATTTTTCCCAGGGCTTCAATAACTTTTCAAGCTTCAGATTCCCTGTTTTCCACATCCTCCGGTTCAGCCTGGATGTCGCAGTGCTAGCAGACACGGTACCTGACCGACGGCCTGTTTCGGGTGGCCGCGGTGTCAGTGCCAGTTCAGATGACGGTGGGGTCTCTGTCCCCAGGTGCGATGACCACTGCTCAGCCTGCGAGGGCTCCAGTGGAAACTGCCTCAAGTGTAAAGAAGGTTTCAGCCTCCTCGGCGGCTCCTGTGTAACAAATGAAACCTGCACCAACGGTAAGCAGTTGTGTCAGAACCACTGGCACCGTAGTAGCAAAAATTAGGGGTTTTGGGGGTTCCTTTTGGAGCAGAAAGGTGAAAGCAATGCAGCGTCTGGGCTTGCTGGGGCACGGCTGCAGCAAGCTGGGCTCCGGCTGCGGTGGGCAGGCGGCTTACCTGGCAGATATCTGCCTGTTGCTCAAATGCATCCAAGCGTTTGTATTTCATTATAGTTTAGTCTTGGGGCTAATTCTCCCACTCACTGCAAAGCTGCTTTATTCCTTCATTAAAACCCTGTGAAAGATGCCCTTAAAAAGGGACTCCTTTTCAATTCTCTCCTCCAACACTGGAACGAGTTGCACCGCCTGTTACGTGCAATGTTTGTTTACTTAAAATGTTAATCTGCTCTCATTTTCTCTTGTTCCTGCTTCGGGCTCCCAGCTGACAAGACTTTCTGTGAGATGGTGAAATCAAACAAGCTCTGTGAAAAGAAGCTGTTTGTGCAGTTCTGCTGTCAGACGTGTCTTATGGCCGGGTAAAGTTCAGCGGCTGCATCCATCCAGGACTTCCACCAACTGCCAGCTCAGTTTTGCCAAATGTTTAGGACAAAAGTTTATTTTTTCAGCTTTGGGAGAGTTTACATGGTGCTGTCAAGCGTTCGCTCGTAAGTTTGATAGCTTTAATATCACTGTCAGCGCGTTTCTATAGCAATGTGTTAAGCAGAGATTGGATCGTACCCTGAATGATCAAGTCCTGAAAAGCAGCAGCAGACAAGCGGTGATATTAACACTCTCAAACACTCCTCGTGAGCAGGGACCGATGCATGATCCATGTACCCAAGCTTGGTTCTTTGCAGAAATCCTACTGATCTGCCCGCTCCGAGGGGCTGGCAGGAGCCCTTGCTGCAAAGGATGCAGGACTTCACACATCTGCGAAGAAAGAGCCGTTTCTGGCTCAGTTTTTGGTACCCTTTTCTGCTAGGTGACGGCTGACGTAAACCTGCATTGCAAACGGCCAGAACCATGCTCTGTACATACGTCAAACGATGAATTAGGTGGTTCCCGGAGCGGTGCCCTAATGCCTGCTCCGGCACTCCTGTTCGGATTCGGTCGGTAGCTGTTTCTCTCTGGCCGTGGGAATCACTGGAGAGTTGAGGACCAAAGCGAGAGCTGATCCACGAGGCTTTGCGGGCACATCAGCCCCGTGAGCCTGGCAGGGCTTTGCTCTGCAGGCAGCTGCAGGCGGGCAAAACCCGTGCACCTAAGGGAGTCTTACGGACTCAGGGGGGTTCATCCCCACAGACCAGCCTGTGGGGTCACAGCCTTACCATGAAATGTATTTCCCCCCTGGAAAGTTGCTGATTAATTAATTTCTGGAATGAGCTAGATCCTTCCTCTAGAGAGATGGTGTCCCAGTTATTCTCTTCTGGCATTTTGTGTTATCATCCTTCCCGTTTCGCTGGGTATATCCCCCTCTCTCACAAAATCCTCCTGTTCACAGCAGTGATTTTTCTTGGGCATGTGTTTCCAAAAGAGACGTTCCAGGGATCCATCCAGGAAACTTAACTCTACAAAACCTTTCCCCGAAACAAACCTTTTCATGCTGTCTCTTAATAGAAAGTCACGTGGTGTTTATGTAATTGTGTTTAAAATATCCTTGGCTATGTTGTTTTACAGATTTTTAAAAAATAACTTATACAATCCTTGTTTTTTCTCTGTAGACTGTTTTTTATATGGGAGTGGGGAATCTTTTTCTGTCTTACATCCTCCTTTTCTCCTCTCTGACCTTGCAGAGCCGCTCTTTGCACCAGACGTATGTAAACACTCTCTCCTATGCTGCATGTTCTGATTTTCATTGTTAATAGTTTTAACGAGTTAAAACCTTTTGCCAATGAAATTCACAGTACAAATTGTCACTCGTTCCTCTTGGAGCTGGGATAATCCCTGCTTGGTTTTGGTTGCAACGACACGCGCCCTGCCTGGGCTTGCCTGCTAGAGCTTACCTCAGCCAGGTGAAGAGGGGAGAGCCACACCATTGCCCGTCCTCACCTGCCTGGACCAAACCCGAGGAAAGATGGAGCTTTGGTGAACTGACCTTTAAGTTAATAAACTATTGATCTCCCCTGACAAATGAATCTGTGCTTTTTCCAAATTCCTACATCCGCCATCCCAACCAGAGGCAGCGATGCACCGTGCGTCTTTATTTTACTGGATAAAGCAGCTGTCCTGGCCAGAGATCCTGATCAGAGGGAGAAACAGCTCAGGAACTGATGGGCTCTGTCTGCAAAACCTGCACTTTTGTTCTTATAAAGGTCTTTTACCTTCAGAGGAAACTCATATCCTGACTACCTGCCCCGTGCCAGGCTGGGCTGGCATCTCTGGTGCACCCAGGGCAGGCTGGCTGGGGTTTGGGGCTGTGCTCAGGCACAGCTGGGTGTACTCCCAGTTGGGGATGCTGGATGAGCTGGCAGGAGGGCTTGCTCCCCTTTCCCACCCACTCACGGAGCATCCTGCGGCCCCCAGTGCCCCACTGCAGTTTGCAGCAGCCAGGAACCACAGGGCCACCGTCCCCCTTCGGCTGCCTGGGAAGGAGAGGAGCTGCTGGTGTGTCGGAGCGGAGGGAGCTGTGGAGCCCTTTGTTTGTTGTGTTGGTTTTGCAATGTTTAACCATGGGCCAGGTGCCCAGGGTAGTGCCTGGGTATCTGGAACTGAGCTTTTTAAGTGTGGAGGAGCGGAACAGAACTGAGCTGTCCCACCAGGAAGAGCTTTCTCCGGGCTGTGCTGCTGTGGGCTCCTGCATCTTAGAGGTCTTCAGTTTTATCAGATGATGAATGTGAATTAATCAGATGATTTAACACAAAATGTGATTCCTTCTGTTGCTCCAGGATTCCCCTTTCGGTTTGGGGCCAAGCCAGAGGTCAGAAGTGGGGTGAAATTCTCCAGGCTTCTGCCCCTCCAGTTGTAAAATAACAAACTTTCATTTCTGTTCTGTGTCACACAGTCAAAAACCGGGAGCTGTGAATCAGGAGTTCGGCGTCAGCTCTGCCTTTCAGTTCTCCGGCTCACAGCAGCCTGCCTCTAAATACTGCTCACTGGTATATTTAGATGTACTGAAATGCTAAAAAAAAAAAAAAAAAAGATGTTTACCCTTACATCCTTGGCATGACTTAAAATACACACTGGGTGAAGCAATGCAATTTAAGATGACCAATCCCCAGCAGTCCCAGCTTTATCCTGCTTTCTGCTGCCCTCCGGCCTGCCAGGGAAAAAAAACAAATTCTACACGTCGAGTTTGTGCAGCAACATCAGCTTCCAGCATTTCCCAGGGCAGCAACTCCCTTAGAGATCATTCTTGGAAAGTAATAAAATTCAGATTATTTATCCAAGCTATTGCAATACTTGCTTGGAGCTATTAAAGTCTCTCTGACACTGGTATGTTCAAAGGATCAAAGTGGCTGTGTCTTCAAGATAAATTCATATTTAGGCAATTTATTAAAGCCTGTTTCTCTATTGTCTCTTGGCACCAAAGCCAAATCTGTAATAGCTGTTTTCTGGAAAATCTCCTTAGTGTAGCCTGACTCCGTGCTTGCTCTTTGGCTGTGAGGTGCATTCACGGCCGTCTGCCATTTCGTAGTTGGCAGGTGGGGAACACACATCTTAAAAATCATTGCTGTGACTTTCCATTACAAAGCAAGGGCTTTTAAGAACTCGTGTACAGCATCTGAGTCCAAGAATCTGCCTGCTCTCAATTACAATTCTAGTAGTGCTATAGGGCTGGGGCATACAGCTAAGGGAGAAAGGTCCACATTTTATCTGGCCTTGTCAGAGGCAGGACCTGCTTTCCAGGAGGCTGCAGAGGGTCTCCTTTTAATGACTGCCTGGAATGACTAAAGACTTGTTTTTACCACTGCATGATTCCTGAGTCACATACACCAAATTCTTCATTTCTGCTTATGACTGCTCCCTCTCTCGCTTTTTCTTGCTCTCTCCTAACAGCTTTAAAAAAAATGCAGATGTTATAAAAACCCCTGACTACATGCTTTCGTATACAGCTTTGGTGAGGTTATCTTTTAAGTAGGGAGCACAGGAGCTGCCTGACCCCAGCTGACACCTCCTCAGGGATCACCAGCCAGCACAGAGCCAGCTCTGATGCTGTAATCCTGGGGAACGAGCCAGGCGTCACTCTCAGGGTGATGCTGCTAGATGCTCCCAAAAGAAAAGTATGAGCCATCACTGTGCGGTGCCAAACGTGGCTGCAGCATTTAACCTATTATCACATCCTCTGGGTTCACAGAAATGTCACAGCTCATGAAAAAAATCCTTCCCTCGATAGCAGTGGATCCAGAAATCATTCTGCCTCATCTCACTCAGGGGGACTTGAGGTCTGGGACGTATTTCTCCAGGGACACAGAAGGGGTGGCTTGGTGACATTTGGCAGGATTTGGGACCTGAGGGTGGGCAGCTGCTTCCCTTCACGTGCCACTTCCAGTGTCTGTCATCCACCCCGTGGCTTGCCCACCTGCAAGGCCCTACCGCTGCCAGCCGAGCCCTGTCAGTGCGCCAAGGGCCTTGGCTGCAGCAGCCCAACACTGATGCCGGGCAGCACGCCGGCCTCGGACCTAGCGAGCTGTCTCTGCTCCCCTCCGGCTACCCCCAGATCTTCCTTGCTGTCCCTCCAATTCCTAAAGCAGGTAGGTGGAAGGGCAGTGACACTTGGAAGTGCATTTTATCTCACAGGCAAAGGGTGAATATGGTGCCGCAGCCTGTGGCGTTTCCCAGCCCATCACAGCTTCTCTGAGACCAGGAATGCACATGGAAGGGCCAGAGCAACTGCCTCACACGCTGCAAGGGGAAGGTGTTTATGGGCAACCCAGAGGCAAAGCCTTGGGTGGAGGATGGAAGGCACCAGGAGCTGTAACGGTCGCAGGGAGGTGCCCTGGCTGTGTAACAGCAGGGGAGCAGCAACAGTCACCGTCCCGCGGGGACTAAGTGCTCAGCAGCCAACTCTGTCCCCAGGAAAGCCTGGGACTTTGCAGCCAAGGCCTGCTTGCTGTCAGCCATCCCTGCGAGCAGGTTTCCAGCCTGCTCTGCCTGGATTTCTGCACACTTTGTCCTTGGAAACACCAGAAGCCGAGAGGGAACCCCTGATGACATCTTTGTGCTGCTTTAGGGTACCAAAACAAAACCAAGCCATCGGAATGGCTGCCCGCGTCAGCGGGGCTGCAGTCAGCCCAGCCTGCTCTGGGGGGACTCGGG